TTTATTTATTTATTTTGAGAGAGAGAGCACGAGCGGGGCAGGGGCAGATGGAGAAGGAGACACAGAATCCGAAGCAGGCTCCAGGCGCTGAGCTGTCAGCACAGAGCCCGACGTGGGGCTCGAACCCACAAACCATGAGATCATGACCTGAGCCGAAGTCAGATGCTTAACCGACTAAACCACCCAGGCAGGCGCCCCTTGATTATTTAGGTTTCTTGGGACACCGGAAGAGAAATTTCCCAAGCTAGATCATGGCCCTTGCCAGTTCCAAGGCTTAACCTGCTGCTGCCTGTGGGCACATTCTTTGACTCACAATGAAAAGGTCACTTGAAATACCTTTCGGTTTACTCACGTTCTGTTACTTGTAGATGTCACACAAGCAGAGGCTTTGATTTAAGACATGGAAGCCTGAAAAGGAATCCGAGAAGGAGCTGTGTTACCAATACTCTCTTCTTCTCTTTCAGGAGAAGAAATACAGCAGCTGTGCCTGGAAATTATGGTGACGCAGGCGCAATCATCCCAGAATGCAGCTGCGCTGTTGGGACTGTGGGTGATGCCACCACTGATCCATAGTCTGAGTGTATGTAGCAATTAAGGGTGTTGGGCAACAGGAGGATCTGGTTCTTTGGGGAAAGATTAACGTTCATCTGGGCGTATGTTCTCAAAGTCAAAGAGTGGCCAGATGTGATTTTGTAAAAATTGGGGGCTTGGCAATAGCTGGCCAGCAGATGGGAAGATTGTGACGCAGAACTCTGCCCCAGCCGTCGACATTCATGCTTTCAGCTCCCCTTGATTATGAAAAAGGAAAATATGGTCAGAGATACGAAAGTTCCTTTCTCAAGATCCTCCAGCTAGAAAGTGATGGAGTTATGAGAGCCTAGGTTTATTTATATGGTATACAATATCATATAAATGATATTCATTGGTTTTGGTTTTGTTTGTTTCTTTTTGAGAGAGAGAGAAAGAGAGCGAGCATGTGCATGTGAGTAGGGGAGGGGCAGGGGGAACAGAGAATCCAAAGCGAGCTCTGTGCTGATGGCAGAGAGCCCGATGCGGGGCTCGAACTCATGAGCCACAAGATCGTGACCTGAACCAAAGTTGGATGCTCAACCAACTGAGCCACCCTGGTGCCCCTGATATTTAGGAGGTATTAAGAAACAGGCAAATCCAATATGATCCCTCCCTTTCACAGAAAAGACAGCAATTCAGGTGAGCCTTGAAGGCTTGGTAGGATCTCATCAAGCATCAAGTTAGAGACACGGGGCATGTAGGTGGGAGGGTGTAGAAACATCTCTGCCAGCGTGTTGGGCTTGAACAAAGCGCTGAGGAAGAAGTGACCTAGCCTGGTATCTACGACAGAAAGAGGGAGCCAGCACCTTCCAGGGTACAGGCCAAGGGTAAGTAGGAAGAATGGGTTAAGATGGCTTAAAGAAAAGCAATTAGTAAATTGTATAATTTTGAGTATATTCTAAGGTGGGACAAGAAAAACCACACTCCATGATCCCTTAGAGGTTTACCAATTGATCGTAAGTTAAATGACCTCTTCTATTCAGGAGGCTTTAGTTCTTTGAGAATTTTGCCAAGCTCTTGTATTAGTTCCTCAGTCTTTTACCTTCAGTTCCTGTTGGGTACTTTTTTCTTTTAAGTTCTGCTTCGTATTCTAATTCTCTTCCACTGAAGGGAGACGTGACTGAGGTCTGCATCCTTTGCGTCAGCAGCTGTCATGAGCTGTCTGCTCCAAGCACGTCCCGTGTAGCCGCCATTACTGAGTAGTGGCCACGTACCTGCGACTTGTAAGCACTCAGTGAGCACTTCCTGACATCAGACTGAATCTGTCTTCGACCCTGACACACAAGTGTTTTTTACATCTTCGAGTTATAATTTATATTGCATAACATATGGCTATTTTAAATGTACAGTTTGATGGGTTCTGGTACATTTGTACATTTTTATCCATCACCAATATTTCCATCACCCCCAGAAAGTTCCGTCGTGCCAACCTGGAGACAATCCCTGCTCCCAGTCTCAGACCCAGGCTACTGCTGATCTGCTTTTAGTCTCTATAATTTTTCCCTTTTTTTTTTTTTTTTTGAAAGGAAGAAGGAGAGCGCATGAATGGGGGAAGGGGAAGTGGGGGGGAAGAGAGAGAGAGAGAAAATCCCAAGCAGGCTTCACACCCAGTGCAGAGCCTGATGTCGGGCTCTTACGACTGTGAGATCATGACCTGAGCCAAAATCAAGAGTTGGACCCTTAACCAACTGAGCCACCCAGGTGCCCCTCTAATTTTTCCTTTTTTAAACAACTTTCATATAAACTTAAATTTCATGTAAACTTTAGAAATTCTTTAGAGTGGAATCATACAATATGAAGTCTTTTGTGCCCAGCTTATTCCGCTTGTGAGAAGTAGATTTTATTGTTTCCAGTTTACAGGTTGATAAACTGAGGCAAATTGGGATCAAACAAAGTTTATGTAGCTAATATCTGGAAGTGAGTCTGGCTGACTCCAAAGTCCGTGTCTCAGACACTGTTCTATTAACTCCTCTTTTCTTTTGAACCAGGTAGAACTTGAACAGCCTGTTTTGTTTACCTCAAAAATCTTTCTAGAATTCAGTTATCCTTCCACTTCTCTTTCAGATCTGTTACTTTTTGGCATTTGTCTTTGAGAATGGACTTTTCTTAACATCGTTGTTAATTAACAAATTAAGTTGGTGAATTCATTTTCTTAATTATATACCTTGTCTTTTTAAAAAAACGATTGGAGGGCGCCTCGATGGATCCGTTGGTTAAGCGTCCGACTTTGGCTCAGGTCATGATCTCACAGCCCATGAGTTTGAGCCCCGCAATCAGGCTCTGTGCTGACAGCTCAGAGCCCGGAGCCTGTTTCAGATTCTGTGTCTCCTTCTCTCTATGACCCTCCCCTGCTCATGCTCTGTGTGTCTCTCTCTCCCTCAAACATAAGCAAACATTAAAAAAAAATTTAAATAACAGTTGCCAAAGGCTTAAGATGACAATGTTATCCTTGAATTACATAATCTTTGGAACTAGTTTTTAACCACAGATAATTTCAGGATTCTCCATATTATAACTGGAGCCTCGCCTAAAAATCATAGGGTGTTGCAAAAAAGATACATATTGTGTTTATCTGCAATCATCAGAAAGTTAAGGGTGTTTTCTTTCATTAACATTGTTGCAAGTAGTTTCTTTCTGCACTGGTATTGCTAAAAGTTGCTATTTTAAATCCTCTCTGCAGCACTAATTTAGGACAACTATGCCAGATTAAATTGTTTCATACTGGTTTATTTAGGGGTTCCATTTTCACTCCTCAGTAGGTGTTCTGTATTTCTCATATGCTTCTTCGCTCATTAATTCACCCAGTTCTGAAGGATTACTGAGTGTTACCTTGATCAGCCAACCATCTTCATACCAAGATTTGTTGACAAGTCCTGTATTTTCTGCAAAAGCTTCATCAATTTCAGTTACTTGTCCTGATAGAGAATAGAGTTCACTAGCAGCTTGCACACTTTTCAAAGCACCAAACTCTTCTTGTTCAATCTTGTCCCCACTTCAGGCACGCGACGGTAAACAGCATCTCACAAAGTGTCCTGTGCAAAACTGCTGATTCCCACTGTTCCAATGCCATTTTCTGTTGTTATGCATTCATGTTTGTCTGTGGATTTACGTGCCGATAGCAGAACGGAGCAGGTGCTCTGTGTCCGGTCCGCCCCCGCCCTCAGCCCCCAGGGCCGGGACAGGCCGCATGCTCCGCCCGTTTCGAAGAATTTTTGAAGCCTCCTCTCTTAACGTCTCTGACACAGAGCTCTTTTTAACCATGCGCCTTTCCGGCCCTCATGACCTCCAGCATGCCACGGGTCAGTTCTACGTGTTCAGCTGCTGCTCCTCTTTGGTCAAAAATGGTTCTGGCATGCCAGTTCTCCTTATCTCCTTATGCTTCCTAGAAGAAGAAATTAATAATATCAGATACTCTGGCCAGTCGATTTCCTGCAGATGAGGCTTTCATGTCCAGGATTTATTTTATTATTATTATTTTTTTTTTTTTTTT